GATCTTGAGCCACCTCTGATTTGGTAATACTCTTTAGCAGTGCTGAATCTGTGCCTGTTTCCTCTGCTAACATCTGCTAACATCAACTCTCCTTTACTGACTAAGTAGCTAAAGCCACAGATAACTTCCTCTATGTCACGAAGTCCAAGAGTAGTCAGAGAGTGAATCAGTCTTTAGTGACATTGTACTTTTAAAACCCCACGATCCTTGAAAAAGGGTGTATTGGATTTCTGTGGAATATTGTGACTCTATCCCTCCCAGGGCTACGAAAGTCACTCTTTTTGTAGACTTGCATAAAGTGCATCTGAAAACCACTCTTTATTGAAACGTTGTGGATGGGTATTTTGACCCATACTTCTAAGCTATCTCAGCTCTCCAGGATTAGGAAACAGGAGTATAGAAGCAGGCAAGGTGGGTCATCTTACAGCTTATCGTTACCTCTGGGATTTGAACATCTGTACTCTTCAGAAATTACTTGAAAATCCTGAGGTATATTGGATAAACTGGGATTTTCTCAGCTGCTAGTAAATGCTACCCAGGGAGTTGTTACCCAGACTTTGCCAACTAAGTCCAAGGACGAATGTCTTGGTCTTTTGGGAGAAACCCAAGACTCTAGGCCTGTTTCGGACATGTCTTAAGACTCGGTAATGTGAAGACATATGATGCTGTCCTTGCCTTGAATGAGCACAGCCTTTCCACACAGATGAGGCAGTGATGTGATGTTGGAAGGACTGGCATCTAAGGGACAAATCAAGAAAAATGAAAATGCTTTTCTCCTTCCTTCTAGGTCTTACATATCATTGAAGTGGAAACTCTACATAAGATAGCCAACAATAAAAACAACCTTGTTGCTAACCCAAATTCTAGAGCACAAAATATGTTTATCAGCATGGACAGCAGTGGCAGAAGCAAAGGGGAAGAGATTTCTTTTTAAACCAAGGATTCTAAAGATTCTTTAGGAAAATGTTTCACCCAGCAGCCCTGCAGGTGGGATGCGTAAGAGCTCTTAGAAACCAGGGTTTGATCTATAAGACATCTTTTGATCCTGCTTTGTCTAGGTTGGACTTCATGTCACTCTTAGGAGTTTTCTCTTACTATGACTCTTACCACCTTTGATTTCTCTTTCTAATTGTAGTTCATTCCTTTAAGTCCTCACTTTTCCCCTCTAGATACTGTGGGTTGAAATCAACCACCTTCTGGAGAGGGCTCCAGTACTACACCACACCCCCAGTCCTGAGTTTTAAAAAATGTATACTGCACCTTGCCAAGCAGTTTATTGATGAACACCCTAATAAACTCTTTGGAAGTGGCTTTAGTCACAGCTGTTTGAGGCTTTTAAAAATGCTTTGTGAGCAATGTTTGAGTCTCCTGAGACTCTTGCCCTGGATGGGATATATATTAGAATCAGAATGGACTTCATTTTATAAATTAAAAACGTATGGGTAGGACAAGAGAAATGAAGGGATTGTGTCTAAGGTCAGTTTGGTATCGCTAGATTATGGCTGCTTGTTCCTTCCTTGCTGCGTCCACCAGGCTGGATTCAAAAATCTTTAGAAAAGAATGGGCTGGCAAGGTGACTCTATGCATAACAGTGCTAGCTATGCAAGTCTGGCTACTGGAGTTGGATCATTGAACTCGAGAAGTAAAAATCTGGGTGTGGTGGCATGTGTCTGCAATCCCAGCACTCCTAGGATGAGATGAGGGGCAGACAGGAGAATCATCTGGAAGGAGACACTGATAAGCCAGCTAGCCTGGAGTATGCATCGCTGCAACAGAACTAAGGAAGACTAAGGCCCAACCAGGTCCAAGGCAAAAACGGAGTCTAGAATGTTGTCTTCTCACCTCCACACAGGTGCCATGGTGTGTGCTCCCACGCACACAGACACAGTAAGTTTCCAGAAAAGGAATGCTTAGAGATTTGTGAAAACAGTCCTCAGCTGACAAACTATCTAGAGGAAGAAATGGACATTACTGAATTATATTATTTTTCCCGTGTGCAAAGGCAAGAGAGAAATTTCATAGTAGTTTATACAACTTTAAAAACTTCTCTCCCTTTAGCCTGTTACCTGAACTGACTTTTTCGTTGGAAAACTTGGTGTCTCACTACAAACTACCCCACCACTTAGGACTCATAGAACATTTTGGTTCTATATTTTTCCAGCCTGTAGAATCCAATAATCACACAATCCCTGAGTGACAGGAAGTAATGGGCAGCATTTGGCTGTGGCCAGAGCTTGTGTGCACCGTAATCTCAAGGACGGCCCACAGACTGGCAGGTTTTCCCCAGGCTGAGGCCAGCTTTCTCCCAGAATGCTTTAGTCTGGCACTCAGAATCAAAGTCCCCAGGTACATTCCTGACTCTTCTTTTTGTCATTGCTTGTTTACTGGTTACTCGGCTTGTCGTTGTTAATTTTGGTTCTGTCCGGAGATGGGACATTTGCTCTTAGCCAGAAGTTCCAGATTGACTTTGGTAGGTGTGGAAGAGTAACTTCTACACACTAGGTTATAGATTTGATAGATAGGCATGAATCCATGGCGGTAACATACTGAGTAATTTCACCAACTTAAACATTTTACTGCTTTGTGACTTATTAAGAAACAGAGCTGTCCCCATTATTCAACTGCTAGAGGTGACATGGATCAGGGGGAGTTGCTCCCCCATCAATGCCTGGGACAATTGAAAGAGCTGTGCCTGCCCCCCACAAGAGGCAACATTCAGGAGAGCAAGCCCTGTACCTCTCCAGGGCAGCACATTAGAGTCAACCCTGTTAGCGCATGTGTGGGTGAGCCAGCCCTGAAGTTGTGAGTATGGGAGAGCTGTCTCCATTACTCATCCGTGTTGTGTGGCATGGGTCAAGGAGAGTTGCCCTCTCTGCCCTTTGCCCACCACCCAAAAGAAAGAGTTGAAATGTTGAGTATAGCATCAACTAATTTAAAATTGCATTCTCTTTGGAAAACTAAGTAAGTAGCAAGCTACTTTCTAAATCCAGTGACTGGGATTACACAATCAAACTCTCATTATTTCTCCCATCCAAATACTGGACTAATTCAGCTTAGCTTCTGGGAGCAAACTAGATTGTGTACGTTTGGGGTGGTATGGCCATACACAAATGCTTGCGAATGGGCCTGAACTACACAACTCTTGAATTAGCTAGCTCACAGGTACTGGCATTTTGGGGCATATGAGGGTAAGCTAGTTTCTTATGATCATAATATCAAGTTAGAAGATATCCAAGTCCAAATCAAATTCTGTCATATGGAGATGTTTAAGTGGCTTTAGCAAAGTTTCTGCAACCTGTCTGTAAGCTCACTGAGTTCTACTTATGGTTTAAGACATCCATCCACTCTTTCATATCAAAGTTCCAGTTGATCAGAGACCAGACAATATTGTTCCAACGAAGTCACTAACACCAACCAAAATCTCAGAGAATAGCACCAACCAAACCTCTAGAACAATAACAGTATAAGAGTATTTTGGAACCAAACTTCAGCACCATTTCCACAGGGATAGACCACAGCCCTAACAGGACCCTTCTTTCTCAAGGAAGGATAAGGAATTCCTCCGAATTAACTTAGTTAATGTACAACCCTAAATTTCTTTAGCTCAACAAGGAAATCTACAACTATCTTATATTGATCAACAACCTACTAATTTCACAAGGAAAACATATTCGGATTATCAAAATCCCTCTTCATGGCAGATTTGGATGCTCAAGTAGTACTAGCATTTCTAATTAGAGTGCTGTTTCTCTAAAGGGAAATCTGCCCAATGAATGTGCTTAGGTACATACAACCTGGTGTGTTTAAAAGTTAACACTGGAAAGGGAGAATCAAGTTCAGTGGCTCAGCACTCACCTGTGTTCAAACCCCTAATTTTTATTTCAGGTGACAAGAAACAGTGAGTGTGAAGAAAGGGATGGGAGAAGTCAACATATTCTTTAAAAAATTGTTCAATGAGTGTAGACACATATACAAAGGTCCAAGAACTTTTCAAGTGTTTGGTCCAACCTTCTCTTTTTTTCCAAGCATGTCTTTTTTGTTGTTGTTGTGCTACATACTTCAGATTAGCTGGACCATAAACATCTGCTGATTCAGTTTGCCTCCCATCTTGCCCTTGCTGGGATTACCAATACATGCCACTGCATCCAGCTTTTTCTTTAAGTCCCAAGTAATGAACTCAAGTCACCAGGCTTGCACAGACAGCACTTTAACCCACTGAGTCTTCTCCCTGGTTCTCTGTGTCATTCTGAAAGAGCCCTATTCCAACTGTTGAGAATGCCATATCCTATTGCTGCAAACAACTGCAACTAAGTTTTATAGGAATAGTTTACATTAGATATTCTGTGACTTACAAAGGTTTAATCTAATAAATTATTTAATCTCTTATCATTGAGTGATTAAATTCTAGGTAGAGACATAAAATGGGGAATAAACAAGTTAAAAAAAGAAAAAAAGGGGGAGGGCTATCTTCCTATTGTGGCAAACAAAATTTTACCAAAACTAAAATTATATAAACTTCAAAAAGACAAACTAAAACTTGCAAAACCCAATGTGTGTTCATCCATTGGCTGTATGTGAAATGCACTTTAACATATACATACACATACATACACATATGTGTATGTATGTGTATGTATATGTATATGTCAGATGTGGCTCCAACTTTGTATAGATATGATACTCTACAAGGTAGAAAAAACGTAATTTATCTTGATTCATTAATTCCAATAAGTTCTAAAGATAGTTGTGGAGAGAAGGAGATGCTGGGGAGATGGCTCAGTGGTTAAGAGCATTTGTTGCTCTTGCAGAAGACTGGAGTTTGGTTCCCAGAACCCACATGGTGGCTCATAACCATCCTTAACTCCCATTCTAAGATAGCCAATGCCTTCCTCTGAACTCTGCTGGTTCCAGTCACACATACAGTGCATATGTATCCAAAGTAGGCAAAACATACACACACGAAATGAATAAATAAAAAAAAAAGATAATCACAAGGACAGTACAATAAGCCAGATAATTTATGGCTATATGAAAACATTTATTCACAAAATAAAAATATTTACAAAATGGAACTTTGCTCCTGTCTTCTCTATGAGTCTTTATAGATAATCCAATATGAAACACGAAGATTATGCAGAGGGAGAGAACACAACTATAAATATACACAAATAGTCACAGTAAATTATTCAAGACTCAGGAACTTCTTCATCGGGGCAGCAGTAATATTCCACAAAACATATTTGCCCATCTTCATTTCTAATCATGTACTGTAATGAGAGGAATCCTCGATTATCTGTCCGAATAGATACTTTACAGGATAAAGCTAATGCCTTTGTAGAGGGTTTCAGTAAAGACAGTTTGTATCTGTAGGAGTAAATGAAAAGCTGTTATTTGGATTCACTAAATGCAACACATGTAACACCAAGTAAAGGGCAAAAGTTAGCCAGGAACTGTTGAGCAGCAAATACTTATCAATGTGTTAGTCTTTTTTTCTCAATTTATCCATCATGATTATGACCCACTATCCTCAAGAAAATACAGAGCCCATCCAGATTTTTAATATGATGCATTTTTAACATTAAAATTACCTGTTTTGTTTTTATATGGACATATGGTACTTAACTTCATCTTTATCAACAATGCAACCTTTATATTAGAACTGACCTGTTGACCTGGGTCTTATTACAGTGAAATGCTTCCATCAAGTCAGAATCTTTGGGATAGTCAAGGTGAGAGCTTCCTGCATTTCCGAAAGTAGATAACCTATAGTTGAAAGTAATTCATTTATTCATAGGTTCAATAATCAATATTAGGAATCATGCTGCCTTAAATGACATATAAAAAGACTGGTTGTAGGGGGCTGGGGAGATGGTTGCATGGGTAAGTACATTTGCAGTGCAGGCCCCAGGAACTGAGTTCAAATCCTCAGAACTCACATAATAGCCAGGTATGACTGTATGCCTGTAAGCCTACCTAGGGGATGAAGACTGGAAGATTCTCAGAACCTAGCAGGCAGCCTATGATTCAAGGCAGTAAGTTGAGAGAAGCAGAGGAAACTCCCCATGTCCTTTTCTGGCCTTATATGTGCACATAAGGGTACAGGCATCAGCACAGTCATATAAATGCAATATATACATAGAGCACACCCAATATGTGTATCTATATATGTGTATGTACTTATATTTATAAATATAAAAATACTATGTATACATAAGTACATGAAATAATAGAAAACTTGGTTGTTTGGGTGTGACCACACAATAGGCCCAAGCTGGTATGCTGCCTGTACAGATTCTTTTGCTTCCACCTCCAAATGCTGCGACTAGTGGCATGAACCACCACACACAGCTAAAATACACCTCACTACTTTGTGGGGGTGGGGGGTGAGGGGTAGGGACTGCATGCCTTTAATCCCAGCACTCGGGAGGCAGAAGCAGGTGATACCTGTGAGTTTGAAACCAGCCTGGTCTACAGAGCGAGTTCCAAGACAGGCAGCTTACAACCACCTCTAACTCCAGCTCCAAAATGATCTCTTAGAGTACCTGGAATCACGTGCACAGGTCCATATTCACACACACACACACACACACACACACACACACACACACACACGCGTGCGAATAAAAATATAAAGTAAACGTATTTTACTACATACTTTCTGCTCCCACAGCATCCTGTGGAAAACTCATTATGGTGGTGCTTGGTAAGGTATATTCCTTCTTTTGAGACAGGGTTTCTCTGTATTGCTTGGGAGCCTGTCCTGGAACTAGTTCTGTAGGCCAGGCTGGCCTGGAACTCACAAAGATCTGTCTGCCTCTGCCTCCTGAGTGCTGGGATTAAAGGCGTGTGCCACCAACGCCTGGCTTTTGTTTTATTTTTTCTAGACAGGGTTTCTCTATAGCTTTGGAGCCTATCCTCAAGTCCTCTGAAAGAGCAGTATATAATCTTAATTGCCAGAACCATTTCTCCAGCCTAGAAAACAACTCTGAAGAAAATCCCACTTCAGAGTACACATTATATACTCTGTATAACTGTATAATCAGAGTTAACTTTCCTTATCCTTAAATCTAGATATGTATCTAAATATAGTTAGTTATAAATATATCTCAGAGAACTGTGAATAATGGAAGACCTTGTTTAAACCACTGTAAGTGTGGGTCCTATTTCTAGCTTTTCCTGCTGAACCACTTATATGCAATTCTACTGTTAAATTATGCTTTACTATTACAGCGTTTCTATGTGTTAGACTGATCTTCAGTTTAACCACCTTCCCCACTGTACTTTAGGCAAATGTTTACAACTCTAGTTTAATCTCCAAGAACTGCCTGAGCATTTGCTATGGCAAGAACATGCCGACAAGCACAGTGATCAAACCTGGGAGGTCTTCTGCAAGCTCGGAGTCTACTCTCCATGTTCCCAGTCAGTCTGTCTTCTTTTTCTATTACAACTTCTCCGTCACTTTCTAAGACTCTACTACCCTGGTCCTCACATCTAATGTCCAGTTTAGGCTCATTTCCTGTGTACATATCTATGTCACATACCTAACTACCGCCCAGTGCCATATGAACATCAAATTTTAACATATCCGGAAGGAGAATTAACTACCATTTCCATACACCAAACTGTTTCCTGTTCTGGAAATGGAAGATTTGGGAAAGGAGCCTCTGATGTCCATTTTAAATGATTAACTGGGGGTGTCATTACTTTCCATTTTGGTTAACTTTTTGACATAATATGAGTAAAAGTTTTATCTGACCAATATCACAAGAGCCTGCTGCAATTGTTCGTTCCTAAACAAAAACACCACAACTTATATTCTCTTATTTCATACCTTTAAAATTGTTTAGTTCTGAAAACAAAACAAAAAACCCAAAAAACAAAAAAAAAAACCAAAAAATCAAAAACTCAGAAATTCTGCTAGCACAAATGTCAGAACAGTTTCAATACTATATTCTTGCTGAAAAATGCCTGGACCCATGAGGCTGACCTTGACCAATCCTCCAAGTACTCAAGTGCTGTTTCCCAAGTACTTAAGAATATTATCTTGGTACTTAATGGTTTGCAATGTTCTTTTCTGCTGATTCACACATTTTTTTCCCCCCTCTACCTTAATTTTAAGGTGTTTTTTTTTTTTAATCAGTCTTAAGATGGATTTACCTAGATCAGAAACAGACTTCTTAGCCTAGACACATGGGGGAGGGCCTAGGCCCTGCCCCAAATGACTTGACAGGCCTCACCCTCCCTGGGGAGTGGATAGGGCATGGGATGGGAGTGGGTGGGGGTCATGGGAGGCTGGGAGGGATAGGGAATTGGGGTTGATATGTAAAATAAGATTGTTTCTAATTTAAATAAAATTTAATCATTAAAAAAAGATGGGTTTGTACATTAGATTATGAATAGCTAAGTTAAAAAAAAAAGGCAACAAACTATCAGCAGTATCTACTTCCTTTTGTATTCTAAACTAACTTAAAAGGAAAAACAAAAGCTACTATGTAATACAAACACACTACTTAAATGGTTTAACCCATTTTCCCTGATGTAACCTCATCTATACCATGGAATACAGCAATGAAAATACCAAAGGTTTGTAGATTATGAAACAAATCAACAGTGCCCACTGATAAAATACTTAGTGGATTATTCTTCTTATGTCTTAAGTTTCTTATCTTGGAGTTGAAAAATTATAAAGTAATAAAATGTTTCTAAAAGTTCTGAACATTCTAGGAGGGGTAAAAAAAATTCCTGTAACTCAGGCAAACATTGAGTGCAGAGTTGGATCCACTACCAGACTTTAAGGACAGTTGCACTCATGTACCTGAAAAAGGGCTTGTCAGGAGACACGGTGATCTGTAGAACATCACTTGTCATGTCCAACTCAGAAAATGCTTCATGGAGCCCCTCTGACTGCAGGATAATTTTATTCATAACATTGGTGCTACAGAAATCAAAATCCAGAGTCTCTTCAGGCTCCTGGGTGTTAATCTTGCAGACCGTCACCACTCCTCCTTCTTCTAGAAATAGCATCAAAGGGTGACCATAACCTTGGTAACACATCCGAAGTGCAGTTAAGGTCCCTGCAATGAAAGAATATATGGGGCTCAGTGCTGCAGCTCTGGGTTTAGCTTTCCCTCCAAATGACACACATACTGCCTCAAGAAATTGCTCTGCTAAGCTTCTAGCATGCATGTCTCTTCTTAAAGGATCCCAATTCCTATAACTGCAAGGAAATGGTAGAAAATCTAACTTGTTGAAATAAAATTTCCACTTGTTAAACCTCAGAAAAATACTCATATACATTGTCTCCTAATGAGGACAGTATTATTTTAAATCAAATTGATAGCACTAGAGGGTAGCCATCTTTGATGTTATTTAACTCCTCAAATCCCTACAGAGGAGGAATATGAAATATTCTGGTTAGAGAGCCAGTCAGGGATATGGGAAAGCACATGCTTTCCTAGGAAAAACCAGCTGGGGAACACTGCATTATAAAACACAGATAAAAACATATGTTTACTGTAGTATGTGTATGATGGTTGTTGAGTGGGTGCATGGATGTCACTGAATAATTTCTGGGAGTTGGTTCTCTTCTTCTACTACAGGACCTGAGAATTAAGCCCAGGTTTGCCAGGCTTGCTAGCGAAGCCCTCTGACCCACTGAGTATCTCACTTGCTTAAAGTGCATAATTACACTCAGCTGGACTGTGCCTCAAACCCATTGGCCCAGTAGTTTCAAGGCATAGGCAAGAGATCACAGCAAGTTCCAGGCCAGCCAGGGTCCACGGTATGTATGGCAGAGTACACTGTAATCCCAGCACTTGGTAGTTGAGGCCGACCTCAGCTACACCCAAGACCCTGTCTACAGAACCCAGGAATTAACAGTGGGGCTGCCAGTGCAAAATTAACAGTACTGCCAGAACAGTAATGGAGTGTTTCCTAGCTTATACTTTCCTATCAAACAGTCATTCTTGCATTGTTCTGGGATTCCTGTAGTTTTATGCCCATGGCAACTAAACTTCCTAATCTCTAAAAATCCCTAAGCAAGTAAAAACATATTTTGAAGAAACTATTTGAGAAAACAGACATCATTTCTAAAAGTCTTATTTTAATTTTGGCAAGCCATTTTAAACACAGTCAACTAGGAGCCAGGAAAATTTGTAGATGTTAATTCTGTGTAAGTTAGAGAAAATATATAATTAAAACAAACTTCACAAAATTAAAGCTCTAATTTATGATTGTTTAAAGTCTTCTTTGATTTTTAAATTTGTGATCTTGGAGTCCTGTGAGATGATTCTGTCAACTTGACAGGATCTAGACCCACACAGGAAACAAAGCCCTATGATGTCTGTGAGGAGTGAGGTAGTGCAATTCCCACCCTAACTGTGGGTAGCACCATTCAATACTTTCCATAGGACTAAGTAAAAAAAGGAGAAGCCACCTAAGCAACTCCCTGCTTCCTATGTACGGATATAATGTGACCAGCTGCCTCATGCTCTTGCTTCCAAGCCCTTCCTTGACATAATGGACTACACCCTCAAACTGTGAGCCAAAATAATCCCTGGAAGTGCTTTTGTAAATCCACAGGGGCAGTAACCAATGCACCTGATAAGATGAACTAAGATGAGTAAATACCTTCACAAACACATAGAGAACTATAACCATACATTGGACCGACAGTTTGAATATTTATGGTCTATGATTATAACCATGAGAGGAAAATGAGTTGGAAACTGGTTTCTTTATATTCTTTAAAAATTTAATACATCTTATACAATGTATTCATAGCCACTCTCTACTACTTCTCTCTGTAGGACTCCTCCACCTATTCTAGAGAAATGTGATTTTCCTCCCCTAGCATCAACTGCCCAAAGCTTCTCCACTGCTCAAGAGCCCTCCCATAGCAACTAGTTTTCAAAGAAAATATTTACTGGCCTGGGCTTGTAGCTCACCTGACAGACTGCCTGCCTAGAAAGTATTGCATTCAATTCCCAGCAGCACATAAAACTATAGGTGGTTGCTATAATATCAGCACTGGAGAGGTAGAGGCAAGAGGATGAGAAATTCATGGCCATCCTCAGCTACAGAGTGAGCTCAAGGCCAGTCTAAGATGCATGGGACCGTGTCTTAAAAACAAAAGTTTACATTTTAAAAAAATTTTCCTGTATTTTTCTAACCATAATGAATGCTTTTATGTCATAATAGTAATAATAATATAGTTCACCTGGTGTAGGACTTGATCCAAAAATAGATAAACAGTCTAAAAGGATTGTTAGGTTAATTCTGAAAGTAACAGATTCTTCCCGAGTGATAAATTCTTGAAACACTTCAGCCTAAGAAAAGCAAACATGAAGGTGGGGTTATATTAAAAAATAAAAATTCCTATGTAAGATTCTATATTTCACTTTTTGCTTAAAAAATACAGGACTGGAAAGAAGGCTCAAGGGGTTAAGAGGACCTTATGTCACACCTGTCTGTGATTCTCATTCCAGGGAATTCAACATCCTCACAGACATACATGTAAGCAAAACACCAATGCACAGAAAATACAAATCAATTTAAAGCAAAATAACAATACTGTGTGCCAATTACACGAGAATAATTTCTCATTCCTCACAAAGACATGCTAATTTCTCAACCATTATCCACTGGAATACTTCTCAATGGTTTAATTGTTTAAGGTATAACACTAAGTTAGGTCCCATTTAGAAGCTCCTGAAGAGTGTGTGTGTGTGTGTGTGTGTGGGGGGGGTTGATGAAAATATTTTGTATGAAAATTTTTAAAAAATTTAATAGGGAGGATGGACAGATGGCTTAGCAGTTAAGAACACTAGCTACTCTTCCAGAGGACCCAAGTTTGATTCCCAGCACCCACATGGCAGCTCACAAACTTCTGTGACCATTTCTAGGTGATCCAACACCCTCTTCTGGAAGGTACCCTGAAGGTATCAGGTACATACCTTTGCAGACATTCATTCAGGTAAAACACTCATACACATAAAATTAAAGCAAAAACAAAAACCTTAATTAAAAGCCACAAAAAAAGAGACTCCCCCAAGCAGGCAGAGGTCCTTCCCTTCTCATTTCTGGATCTAAACCTACCACCCATGTGAGCTTTCCTTGCTCCTTCCTTATGCCTAAAGTATAGGACAATTTAATAATATATGCATGATAATAGTTTCCAATTCCTTTTTAAAATTTTATTTAATTTTATGTGCACTAGTGTTTTGTCTGTGAGAGGATGTCCAATCACCTTAACTGTAATTACAGATAGTTATGAACTGCCATATGGGTGCTGGGAATTGAACCTGGGTCCTTTGGAAGAGCAGTCAATGCTCTGAACTGCTAAGCCCCTGTAATTACTTTTCAAAACAAAAACCATATTTTATTTATTACTTCATTTGCAAGGTCATATTACACACATGTTCAAAAATATGAATTGAATGTTGAGATCCGATCTGGCCCCCACAATGAATAAGATTATAGCTATAGGTGATGGTCCAGGGCTTTAACCCCAGTACTTCAATATAAAGTAGAGGCAGGTGGGTGTCCTGGAACTTGAGTTCAGTGTGGTCTACAAAGCAAGTTCCAAGTAATCAGGGCTATATGTAAGGTGTCAGACCCTGTCTCAGGAAAAAAAAAATAGTAATAATAATAAATGCTATCACAGCCATCAAGAGGAAAAACTAAACTGTGCAGGACAATAATTAACAAACATTCTGTGTTTTCATTATAAGATTGCTGAAAATTAAATCTGTTGCAGTTGCCACTTATATAAAATAGGAATGATATGCATGCTTACTTTTGAAGGCTAAAAGACAAACGATGAGAAGAGTGTCTCATAGTTTAACTGTAATTAACCATCCCTAATAATTGTTATCTGTGTGACACGATGGGAAAAGTATTTGTGCAGGAAAGAAAAAAAAAATAAGTAATGACATTTCATTTTCTAACTGACGTTTTGCTGAATAAGTCCTTCCAAATTCATCAACTAGGTGAAGGCCTAAAAGTGCTTTCTCTCCCCCCATACCTGAATAAAGGCATTTGCTTGCACACACTTTGCATTTTCCACTGTAACCTTGAGTCCATTTTTAGTAGCAAAACACGTGGCGTGGTCTTTGAAATGAATGGCCTTCAAGACAGTGGACAGATTCCTAACGTTGTCAAGGCTGGCCACTAAGCAGTACTGTTCGTCCTCGTCCTGAACGTGCTGGGTTAGGAGAGGCATGGATGGTCACGGTCGGCTCGGAGAGAAGGATGCTCTTCTTCCCGAAGATCGCTGAAAACCTGAGAGAGGAACAGCAAACCTGGCATCAGTGCGGACGGGACTGAAGACCTCGACCCGAGCCGAAACCAGCTGACCAGGGAGAGCCGCACTGCGACCACTGGTCGGCCTTTAACTTCTGGGAAAAAAATATCTCCCTGTCTCAAAACTACGGTTTTCTCGTGTTTCGTAGGGGAAAATAAAAAAGCAATTCACAGGGAGGCTGTAACTGGCGCGGTTTCCACAGGGTAAACAGCATAGCCAGCTTGGAACCTGTTTGGCAGCTTCTGGCGCCACCAACCTGGTCAGCCACAGGGCAGGAGCGGCCGCGGCCCCGCAGTCACCTCGCTCACCATCCCGCTCGCCGCACCACGGCGCCACCACAACGGGGAGCCCGGGGCACCAGACCCTGCTTTAGAGACGAAGTCCGACGCCTCAAGACCCTTTCCAGCCAGCCCAGTAAGGACACCGTGAGAGTCCCGAAGCTAGCAAGCATAGCAAGCAGCTCCCGCCACCTTTTAGACCCGCCGCCTCCTGGGCCACCGTCACCACCGAGCCGCCACGGGCCTAGATAGTCTACCACGAGACCGGAAGATGGCGCCTCACGGCTGGATGACTAACCCAGAGACTAGCGTGCGCTACCATCGAGACCGGAAGGAGGAGCGAGCGGCATAACCGGAAGTGCGGCCTGCCACTAACGCGGCGAGGCAAGATGGCGGCGACCAAGAGAAAACGGCGTGGGGGTTTGGAGGTTCAGGCAAAGAAGCCAAAAAGGAGCCGGAAAGATACCGGGCAGCCAGCTAAGCAGGCCGCTGTGGAGAAAGAGGTGGAGGAAGGAGATAGAGATCGCATTCCAGGTCCCGTTTGCAAGGTAAAAGGCCCAACTCCGGGGCTATGCGTGTGGCGTGAGCTTCGTGACCCGCTACTGACGTGACTGCAGCCAAAGCTTTACTGGATGATGAGCTTAGTGATCCCCTTGGCTGGACTGGACAGTGTTTATGTCTAATTTTCCTGCAGGTGGCCTCCTTGAGATAGCCGTCCGTAGATCCGTAGCCAGCTCACTGGGACGGAGTGTTCTAGTAATGTATTTTCACTCGTCCCCCACCTCTCCAGGGTAGTGTTTTTCCTTGGTTTTTCTCGTCGTTGTCGGTCTCTCTCTCTCTCTCTCTCTGTCTCTGTCTCTGTCTCTCTCTGTCTTTCTCTCATGTATCTACTTTATGCTTTCGGTATCCTGCCAGGGTGCCCAGTTTCAGACAAAGGTGTCGAAGTTTGCTTGCCAAGCCTTTAAAGTTATTTTCTTGTGACCCTAATTTGTTTTGTTGGATCTTTACTCAAAGGATAATAAAATACTAGAGTAGACCATGAGTTTTATTTATATTCAGCAGTGCGACCCACTGTATCAAAGTGAGTTCCCCCGGCCGTGGCATCTCAGAAGATGAACAAGACTTATTCCAGAAACACTAGCGTTTGGGAGGATAGAAGGCTTCATAGAAAATTACGTGTGTGTTCAAAAAACCTTCAGTCAGCTGGAAACCCCTTAAAAATTAGTGGAGTAAATGACACTACTTTAGACTTGTTGATATCTGTCCTCTGCTTAGTGTAGTACTAAGTACTTAGGTCGGAAGTGTGACAGGTGAGTGTAAATTGTAGCCCAGTTTTGGTTGACAGTAAAATCTTGTACTCTAGTCTTTAAAAAGTGACTTTTGAGAAGCATGAGCTGGACTCTCAGGTTTTCAATAGATGTTATGTTAGTGCTCCCCCTCTTGTGGGAGCTGGATAGAAGCATGCTGTGATCTGTAATCTGAATCACACTAACACATGGTCATTGGAATTCATGAGATACAGACTACTTTTAGGATAGTAAGGAAACATAAAGGATTGGAGCTGGATTTTAAAGGAAGGGTTTCATTTCGATATTCAAAGAGAGAGAAGAATTAATCTAAGGCTTTAAAGTGGGAGACGAAGAAAAATCTAAAAATTAGAACCAGGTTGGATGAGCAGGTGCAGGGCCAGTGTTGGGCGGTGGTGATGTAAACAGTCAAAATATGTTTTAGAATCCAATCATAGAGAGTGTATGCCATTTTGAACTTTGGAAACCACTGGGAGGTAAAGACATGACTTGGACAGTGCTTTTAAAAGGTTAAATTGTGCTAGTTAGATAACTATCAGAAGTGCTTTTGTCTGGGAAAGCCAGGCATTCCAGAGCTTTGCAGCTGATAATCGGTTATAAGGGTTTAAGTAAGGACACTGTAAGATTTAGAAATTGTTGTATTTAGTGGTGCTTGTGATGTCTGTGTAAGAAAATCAGGGCAAATGGGCTAATCATAGTCTGAGGAACTGAAGTGATGGTAGTAGAAAGAAGGAGAGGAGAGAGGAAAAGAAAGATGGGAAGGAAATTGGCAAAGTTTAGTGTTATACACTTGAGTATCTTTCTGTGGATAGTTAAACTGGGAATCAGCGTGGGGAACTGTAATGGAAAGAATTAAAATTAGAAAAATGAAAGGGTGCCAAGAAAGAATCCTTATAGTAGTGAGGGGCAATTGGAAAGTGTTCTTTGTTTTAGATAGTTCACTATGTTTGCATGATAGCCTTACATTCCTAGGTTTGAGTGATCCTGCTTCAGCCTCTCTAGCTGGGGCTTTGGAGATGTACTATCATGTGTGGTTCTGGAACCTTAAAAACTGTCGAGAAAACATACCAGATAAGTTTAGCACAAATGTTAAAACCTTTTAATGTTTTCTTTTCTTTAGGGCAAATGGAAAAATAAGGAGCGAATCCTCATCTTTTCTTCCAGAGGAATAAATTTCAGAACAAGACACTTAATGCAAGACTTGAGAATGTTGATGCCCCATTCTAAAGCAGGTGCTTTAATACCATGTACTTTAAAATTTGTATGTACAAACCTACCTGATATGTGTGTGTGTGTGTGTGTGTGTATTTATTTCCTTGTTTGCTCTGCGCGCAGTACAAGAGTTAGGGGTATAGCTCAGTCAGTGAGGTAGAGGGCCTGAGTTTAATCCCAAGACCTGCCTTAAAGGAGCTGGGTGTGGTGGTTCACGGTTATAGTAGTTCTTAGAAGATAGATGGTGGCAGGAAGATACTTGGGTCTTGCTGACAAGCTAGCCTAGCCTAGTTGGCAAGCTTTAGGCCAGTTTAAAGACCCTGTCTACACCTGAGGTTGACCAGTAGATGGATGGATAGGGACACATACACAAACTTACACACATTTCTGAAGTTCATTTGTTCAAGTACCTGATTTTTAAAGCAATTTAATATTTTATAAACTATTGACAAAATCCACATTTTCTTTACTTAAACCTGTACCTTAATATAGAAACATATTCTAAAAGTCCAAGGATACTTTCATTACAGTGGCTTCCAAGGTGAGAAGATGGGTGAGATACTAAATAAGGACTGGCATATATATATCTTTCTGAATGTTTAAAACTTTATTTTACTTACTTACCTACTTTTTATTTATTTATTGAGACAGGGTCTTACTGTGCAGTTTTGGCTAGTTGGCTAACCTGGAGGTCACTATGTAGTCCAGGCTGGCCTGGAGCTAGCTGCTTTATTCCAGTGTTGGCACTGATGTGCCACCACCCATGGTTTATCAGTGTTCTGTTTTAGAGGCTAATTTGTTCTTGAGATGAGACATCTATACTGCTGTATGGCTGTGTCCTGAGATGCTTCTGTATTGTATTTCATGTTGGGTTCTTTAGTGCTTCTCAAACTGACATTGATGTGTTTTCATTTCTTTGGTTATCCAAAGCCAATTTTAAAATTGGTTTATTTGATTCAAAAATATATTTCCATTAAATTGTAAGTTTTGACCAGGGGTGGTGGCATACACCTTTATTTAGTCCCATCATTTAGGAGGTAGAAGCAACCTGATCTCTTGAGTTCAAGGCCAACTTGGTCTGCATAGCTTGTCTTTTTATTTCTGGAAGCTAGGTTTAGTGATAGGGAGATGGAGGCAGGAAGATCAGGAAATTGAAGGTCATCCTGAATTACATAGGCACTTTGAAGCTAGCCTGGAGTACCTGAGAGTACCTCTCTTAAAAAATAAAAGAATGGTTTCAGTTTTGAGACAGGCCAGGTGACACAGGCCTATAATTTCAGCTATTTGGAAGCTGGGGTTGGAAAATTGAAAGTTTAAGGCCTGCTTGAGCAAATTAGTGAGAATGTCTGAAAATAAAAGTAAAAAGAGGCATGGGTAAAGTTAAAAAAAAAAAAAGCTATTGCTCAGTGGTAGAGTGCTTGCCTGGCTTGTGCCTCACCCTGGGTTCCAATACCCAATACAGTGGCAAGTATGTACTGCACTATCTGCCCACTGCTTGTTTAGCCTATATGAATGAAGAGGTTGATTGGATTTTAGGATTAATCAGTCTTAAAAATCTTTATTGTAAAAATAATTATCTAGATAACATATGTAATCAAAGTAAGGTAGTCTTCAAATCTGTAAATTACTTGCTTTCTCTTTTTCTTTTTATAGATACTAAAATGGACCGTAAAGATAAACTATTTGTGATAAATGAGGTAATATTAAAATTATACAAATATTTTATCAACTCAGTGAAGACTCTTAACAAAGGTTATTTAATGACTTATAAAATATTACTTTGAATAATTCAAATTTTATTAATTTCACTAATCTGTCAATTATTTTTTTTTCTGTGATACACATGAAACTTATGGTAGGTACTTGTAAGAATTATCAATCAACATATAAAATTTCAAAAATGTTGACTATAGAAAATTTAGGTTGTAAAAAGGTATTTTATTAGTATAAATGTTCAGGAATAGTTAAAATTTCAAAGTACTGTTGAAGATACTAAGCTTGTATTTCAAAGCAAAATTTTCTGAACAGTTTTAATATAATTCTTTGGCTGTTAAAAGGCTTTTGTTGGGTAGTTTGACACAAATGTTGTTATAACATAGCATTATTGTACAAGCTGTGGCAGCATTGTTGACCAGAACTAGGACAATTCCCTTTTGTTCATTCCAGTGAGGGAG